TCCCCTTTTTTTCCCCCCTTGAATTGTTCGCCGCCCTGAATCCTCCCGGAGAAGGGCGGCATACAAATAATAAAATACAAATACAAAATCCTCTACAAATGAAATGTGCGATTTTTAAAATTCTAAACATATGTTTGTATATGCAAATTAATAAAGATTGAAAAATTAACAGATAATTATAACTTATATTTCTTTAAATCTGACTATATTTCCGGTTAACATCTAGATAATGTTTCAAAGAGGACAAAGTGTTACATTGAGAAGAAACAGAAGGTCTTAGATAAAATTAGAAGCAAAGCAGAATAAGTACCATGCAAAGAGTATTTTAGGCATACTGGTGTTTCAAAGGGGCTTAGAGGATTGTGCTTTGCAAACTTTACTAGCTATCCAATCAATATCAGTTTCTTCAATAAAATACAGGGTTAGGCTCTCTTCTATCTTTCTGAGTAGAAAATAATACCCTAAGGAAGCATCCTGGCCCACACAGACGACGTGTGAGAGAATGCTCAGAGACGTATTGTATACTAACAGATCTTATCCACACCTTGTTCTATTCAATTTCTGGATGGAGGTTTGCTATGTATTTTTAAAAGACTGGTGGGGCTGAAGAGGAAGCAATTAAGGAGCAGCAAGTGGTGATGGAAGGCAATTACTTTTAATAATATTCTACAGCACTACCATGTAATAACTGAAATAAATTACCATTTGAAATACTGTGTTCGGGCAGGTGTCAATAGAAAGCATTGTGGTAGGAAAAGTTTTGATAGGCAGTTAAAATTCTAGATGTTGATCTAATTCTAACAATAAGGATTTTGTAGCTATTTTATGGCTATTGCCATATGCTGCTCTATTCGATGAGAGTTCTGTGTTAGACAGTTTTCAGCAAAAGCTATATAATATTACTCAGATGTACACATACCAAAACATACTAGAACCAGCAAGCCTCTTTTTCCCCAGGCCAAGCTTACACACATAGTCTTGAACATACTAAATTTAGAGAACTTTCTTTTCATGATCAGAATTAGATCAAAGACTGAATGTTTTACCTAGAAGATACCAAATCAGCTTTACTGGCTTACTACAGAAGATAGCTACATATAGAAACAAGATATTCTATCTCTCGTCTTACCTTTTCTCATTACAAATAGCGTTTTTCTAAAATTTGATTCTGTTCTGCAATGTCTATTCCCTTTCACCTCTCAATTCTTTCTGCTTGATTTAGCCTTATTTATTAAACTTATAAGGCTGCCTGACTCTGTTACAATTCTGGGCAATGTACATGTTAAAATAACTAAAAAATACAAACAAAATAAAAGGCTTTCCCCTCTCTTTCCCACTGTTGAAAGAAATGTCCTTCTGGGTTCAGCTCCAAGTGGGGAAGACGACACTGGAGACATGGAGGCTGCTTGGAAAGATGGTTTATTGTTGGACAGGGCCACGTGGCTTGAGCCCAGTACAGAAAAGGTGATCACATGGCTCAATGTAGGTGGACAAGAAGAGAGAATTATTAATTATTAATTATTATGAACAATCTTTCATTAGAACAATTATTATTTTAAAACTTTAAAATATTTTAAAACCATGCATTTAAAATTTCAAATGCATCTAACAGAAATAAAAGGGTTTAAAAATAAGTAGACATAATGTCCCTTCTTGACTTTAATTCTCCTTTTTGGTTTTTGGAATTCTTGATTAAGAAAAGAGATAAAATTAAGGGGAAAAGTATAAAAGCTGTGCTGCAGATTATATTGCCACAGACTAAACAGGACTTACAGTATTTAAAATCACTTCAATTGACACTTTGTATTCACTGTTGTTTCCTAGGAAACAGGGGAATTAATTCTTGCCCTTTT